TCACTACACAAACTACAACCTGGTGTCTTATCTCACTACACAAACTACAACCTGGTGTCTTATCTCACTACACAAACTACAACCTGGTGTCTTATCTCACTACACAAACTACAACCTGGTGTCTTATCTCACTACACAAACTACAACCTGGTGTCTTATCTCACTACACAACCTGGTGTCTTATCTCACTACACAAACTACAACCTGGTGTCTTATCTCACTACACAACCTACAACCTGGTGTCTTATCTCACTACACAAACTACAACCTGGTGTCTTATCTCACTACACAAACTACAACCTGGTGTCTTATCTCACTACACAAACTACAACCTGGTGTCTTATCTCACTACACAAACTACAACCTGGTGTCTTATCTCACTACACAAACTACAACCTGGTGTCTTATCTCACTACACAAACTACAACCTGGTGTCTTATCTCACTACACAAACTACAACCTGGTGTCTTATCTCACTACACAAACTACAACCTGGTGTCTTATCTCACTACACAAACTACAACCTGGTGTCTTATCTCACTACACAACCTGGTGTCTTATCTCACTACACAAACTACAACCTGGTGTCTTATCTCACTACACAAACTACAACCTGGTGTCTTATCTCACTACACAAACTACAACCTGGTGTCTTATCTCACTACACAAACTACAACCTGGTGTCTTATCTCACTACACAAACTACAACCTGGTGTCTTATCTCACTACACAAACTACAACCTGGTGTCTTATCTCACTACACAAACTACAACCTGGTGTCTTATCTCACTACACAACCTGGTGTCTTATCTCACTACACAAACTACAACCTGGTGTCTTATCTTACTACACAAACTACAACCTGGTGTCTTATCTCACTACACAAACTACAACCTGGTGTCTTATCTCACTACACAACCTGGTGTCTTATCTCACTACACAAACTACAACCTGGTGTCTTATCTCACTACACAACCTGGTGTCTTATCTCACTACACAAACTACAACCTGGTGTCTTATCTCACTACACAAACTACAACCTGGTGTCTTATCTCACTACACAACCTGGTGTCTTATCTCACTACACAAACTACAACCTGGTGTCTTATCTCACTACACAAACTACAACCTGGTGTCTTATCTCACTACACAAACTACAACCTGGTGTCTTATCTCACTACACAAACTACAACCTGGTGTCTTATCTCACTACACAAACTACAACCTGGTGTCTTATCTCACTACACAAACTACAACCTGGTGTCTTATCTCACTACACAAACTACAACCTGGTGTCTTATCTCACTACACAAACTACAACCTGGTGTCTTATCTCACTACACAAACTACAACCTGGTGTCTTATCTCACTACACAAACTACAACCTGGTGTCTTATCTCACTACACAACCTGGTGTCTTATCTCACTACACAAACTACAACCTGGTGTCTTATCTTACTACACAAACTACAACCTGGTATCTTATCTCACTACACAAACTACAACCTGGTGTCTTATCTCACTACACAACCTGGTGTCTTATCTCACTACACAAACTACAACCTGGTGTCTTATCTCACTACACAACCTGGTGTCTTATCTCACTACACAAACTACAACCTGGTGTCTTATCTCACTACACAAACTACAACCTGGTGTCTTATCTCACTACACAACCTGGTGTCTTATCTCACTACACAAACTACAACCTGGTGTCTTATCTCACTACACAAACTACAACCTGGTGTCTTATCTCACTACACAAACTACAACCTGGTGTCTTATCTCACTACACAAACTACAACCTGGTGTCTTATCTCACTACACAAACTACAACCTGGTGTCTTATCTCACTACACAAACTACAACCTGGTGTCTTATCTCACTACACAAACTACAACCTGGTGTCTTATCTCACTACACAACCTGGCATCTTATCTCACTACACAAACTACAACCTGGTGTCTTATCTCACTACACAACCTACAACCTGGTGTCTTATCTCACTACACAAACTACAACCTGGTGTCTTATCTCACTACACAACCTGGTGTCTTATCTCACTACACAACCTGGTGTCTTATCTCACCACAAACTACAACCTGGTGTCTTATCTCACTACACAACCTGGTGTCTTATCTCACCACAAACTACAACCTGGTGTCTTATCTCACCACAAACTACAACCTGGTGTCTTATCTCACTACACAAACTACAACCTGGTGTCTTATCTCACTACACAAACTACAACCTGGTGTCTTATCTCACTACACAAACTACAACCTGGTGTCTTATCTCACTACACAAACTACAACCTGGTGTCTTATCTCACTACACAAACTACAACCTGGTGTCTTATCTCACTACACAAACTACTACCTGGTGTCTTATCTCACTACACAACCTGGTGTCTTATCTCACTACACAACCTGGTGTCTTATCTCACTACACAAACTACAACCTGGTCTTATCTTACTACACAAACTACAACCTGGTGTCTTATCTCACTACACAAACTACAACCTGGTGTCTTATCTCACTACACAACCTGGTGTCTTATCTCACTACACAAACTACTACCTGGTGTCTTATCTCACTACACAAACTACAACCTGGTGTCTTATCTCACTACACAAACTACAACCTGGTGTCTTATCTCACTACACAACCTGGTGTCTTATCTCACTACACAAACTACAACCTGGTGTCTTATCTCACTACACAAACTACAACCTGGTGTCTTATCTCACTACACAACCTGGTGTCTTATTTCACTACGCAACTACCTGGTGTCTTATCTTACTACACAAACTACAACCTGGTGTCTTATCTCACTACACAAACTACAACCTGGTGTCTTATCTCACTACACAAACTACAACCTGGTGTCTTATCTCACTACACAACCTGGTGTCTTATCTCACTACACAAACTACAACCTGGTGTCTTATCTCACTACACAACCTGGTGTCTTATCTCACTACACAAACTACAACCTGGTGTCTTATCTCACTACACAAACTACAACCTGGTGTCTTATCTCACTACACAAACTACAGCCTGGTGTCTTATCTCACTACACAACCTGGTGTCTTATCTCACTACACAAACTACAACCTGGTGTCTTATCTCACTACACAAACTACAACCTGGTGTCTTATCTCACTACACAAACTACAACCTGGTGTCTTATCTCACTACACAAACTACAACCTGGTGTCTTATCTCACTACACAACCTGGTGTCTTATCTCACTACACAAACTACAACCTGGTGTCTTATCTCACTACACAAACTACAACCTGGTGTCTTATCTCACTACACAAACTACAACCTGGTGTCTTATATCACTACACAAACTACAACCTGGTGTCTTATCTCACTACACAAACTACAACCTGGTGTCTTATCTCACTACACAAACTACAACCTGGTGTCTTATCTCACTACACAACCTGGTGTCTTATCTCACTACACAACCTGGTGTCTTATCTCACTACACAACCTGGTGTCTTATCTCACTACACAAACTACAACCTGGTGTCTTATCTTACTACACAAACTACAACCTGGTGTCTTATCTCACTACACAACCTGGTGTCTTATCTCACTACACAAACTACAACCTGGTGTCTTATCTCACTACACAACCTGGTGTCTTATTTCACTACACAACTACCTGGTGTCTTATCTCACTACACAAACAACTACCTGGTGTCACGACAACCGTTATCTTGTGACAACCCGCATCTTAACTTGCCTTGCGACGGCCGGCGATCTCACGACACTCACAACAAGAACGGCAACTTCAAGAACGTCAACTTCACCGATTGTTTTGTTGATTGCTTCGTGAGAAAAACTCCTTCACGACGCGACTCCATCGCGAAGTTGTTTCACTCCTCCTGGGCCACGTTACCCCACCCACGTTACCCCACGTTACCCCACTCACGTTACCCCACTCACGTTACCCCACTCACGTTACCCCACTCACGTTACCCCCCACGTACCCACGTTACCCCACTCACGTTACCCACGTTACCCCACCCACGTTACCCCACGTTACCCCACTCACGTTACCCCACGTTACCCCACCCACGTTACCCCACGTTACCCCACCCACGTTACCCCACGTTACCCCACCCACGTTACCCCACGTTACCCCACCCACGTTACCCCACGTTACCCCACCCACGTTACCCCACGTTACCCCACCCACGTTACCCACGTACCCCACCGTTACCCACCACGTTACCCCACCCACGTTACCCCACGTTACCCCACCCACGTTACCCCACGTTACCCCACCCACGTTACCCCACCCACGTTACCCCACCCACGTTACCCCACCCACGTTACCCCACGTTACCCCACCCACGTTACCCCACGTTACCCCACCCACGTTACCCCACCCACGTTACCCCACCCACGTTACCCCACCCAGCCCACGTTACCCCACCCACGTTACCACACCCACGTTACCCCACCCACGTTACCCCACCCACGTTACCCCCACGTTACCCCACTCATGTTACCCCACCCAGCCCACGTTACCCCACGTTACCCACCCACGTTACCCCACTCACGTTACACCACCCATCCCACCCACCCCACTTTACCCCACTCACGTTACCCCACTCACCCCACGTTACCCCACCCAGCCCACTCACCCCACGTTACCCCCCCCCACGTTACCCCACCCAGCCCACTCACCCCACGTTACCCCCCCCACGTTACCCCACCCAGCCCACTCACCCCACGTTACCCCCCCCACGTTACCCCACCCAGCCCACTCACCCCACGTTACCCCCCCCCACGTTACCCCCCCCAGCCCACTCACCCCACGTTACCCCCCCCACGTTACCCCCCCCAGCCCACTCACCCCACGTTACCCCACCCACGTTACCCCCCCCCACCACACCCACCCCCCACGTTACCCCCACCCCACCCACCCCCCACCCACCCCCCACCCCACCCCCCACCCCACCCCCCCCCCACCCCCGCCTAGTTGAACAGCCCCCTGTAGCGATGGCGGTCCTCCTCATTCTTCAGCTGGAGGCGCTGCTCCAGCGCCTGCAGCTCCCGCCGCACGGCCCTGCCCAGCGCGGGCTCCAGGGCGGACACGCGGTCAAAGTCGGAGCGAGCCTCTCGCTCGTTCCAGACGGCCGAGTGGGCACGGCCTCGCTTGAAGTACGCCTTCACGTTGTCTACGGAGACACGGAGAGAGACACAGAGACACACAGAGACACACAGAGACACGGAGAGAGACACAGAGACACACAGAGACACACAGAGAGACAGAGAGACACAGACACACACAGAGACACAGAGACACACAGAGAGACACAGACACACAGAGAGACACACAGAGAGACACAGACACACAGAGACACACGGTCAAAGTCGGAGCGAGCCTCTCGCTCGTTCCAGACGGCCGAGTGGGCACGGCCTCGCTTGAAGTACGCCTTCACGTTGTCTACGGAGATACAGAGACACGGAGAGAGACACAGAGACACACGGAGAGAGACAGAGACACACAGAGACACAGAGACACACACAGACACACAGAGACACACAGAGAGACAGAGAGACACAGAGACACACAGAGACACACACAGAGACACACAGAGACACAGAGACACAGAGACACGCGGTCAAAGTCGGAGCGAGCCTCTCGCTCGTTCCAGACGGCCGAGTGGGCACGGCCTCGCTTGAAGTACGCCTTCACGTTGTCTACGGAGACACGGAGAGAGACACAGAGACACACAGAGACACACAGAGAGACAGAGAGACACAGACACACACAGAGACACACAGAGAGACAGAGACACACAGAGACACAGAGACACGCGGTCAAAGTCGGAGCGAGCCTCTCGCTCGTTCCAGACGGCCGAGTGGGCACGGCCTCGCTTGAAGTACGCCTTCACGTTGTCTACGGAGACACGGAGAGAGACACAGACACACACACAGAGACACACAGAGACACAGAGAGAGACACAGAGACACGGAGAGAGACACAGAGAGACAGACACACAGAGAGACACAGAGAGACACAGACACACAGAGACACGCGGTCAAAGTCGGAGCGAGCCTCTCGCTCGTTCCAGACGGCCGAGTGGGCACGGCCTCGCTTGAAGTACGCCTTCACGTTGTCTACGGAGACACGGAGAGAGACACAGAGACACACAGAGACACACACAGAGACACGGAGAGACACACAGAGACACACAGAGACACAGAGACACACAGAGAGACACACAGAGACACACACAGAGACACACAGAGACACAGAGACACACACAGAGACACACACAGAGAGACACAGAGACACGCGGTCAAAGTCGGAGCGAGCCTCTCGCTCGTTCCAGACGGCCGAGTGGGCACGGCCTCGCTTGAAGTACGCCTTCACGTTGTCTACGGAGACACGGAGAGAGACACAGAGACACACAGAGAGACACGGAGAGACACAGAGACACACAGAGACACACAGAGACACAGAGACACAGAGACACGCGGTCAAAGTCGGAGCGAGCCTCTCGCTCGTTCCAGACGGCCGAGTGGGCACGGCCTCGCTTGAAGTACGCCTTCACGTTGTCTACGGACAGAGACACAGACACAGAGACACACAGAGACACAGAGACACACAGAGACACAGAGACACGCGGTCAAAGTCGGAGCGAGCCTCTCGCTCGTTCCAGACGGCCGAGTGGGCACGGCCTCGCTTGAAGTACGCCTTCACGTTGTCTACGGAGACACGGAGAGAGACACAGAGACACAGAGAGACACAGAGAGACAGAGACACGCGGTCAAAGTCGGAGCGAGCCTCTCGCTCGTTCCAGACGGCCGAGTGGGCACGGCCTCGCTTGAAGTACGCCTTCACGTTGTCTACGGAGACACGGAGAGAGACACAGAGACACACAGAGACACACAGAGAGACACAGAGACACACAGAGACACAGAGACACGCGGTCAAAGTCGGAGCGAGCCTCTCGCTCGTTCCAGACGGCCGAGTGGGCACGGCCTCGCTTGAAGTACGCCTTCACGTTGTCTACGGAGACACGGAGACACGGAGAGAGACACAGAGACACACAGAGAGACACAGAGAGACACAGAGAGAGACACATAGAGAGACACACAGAGACACAGAGACACAGAGACACGCGGTCAAAGTCGGAGCGAGCCTCTCGCTCGTTCCAGACGGCCGAGTGGGCACGGCCTCGCTTGAAGTACGCCTTCACGTTGTCTACGGAGACACGGAGACACGGTCACAGAGACACAGAGACACAGAGACACACAGAGAGACACACAGAGACACAGAGACACACACAGACACACAGAGAGACAGAGAGACACAGAGACACAGAGACACGCGGTCAAAGTCGGAGCGAGCCTCTCGCTCGTTCCAGACGGCCGAGTGGGCACGGCCTCGCTTGAAGTACGCCTTCACGTTGTCTACGGAGACACGGAGAGAGACACAGAGACACACAGAGACACACAGAGAGACACAGAGACAGAGACACGCGGTCAAAGTCGGAGCGAGCCTCTCGCTCGTTCCAGACGGCCGAGTGGGCACGGCCTCGCTTGAAGTACGCCTTCACGTTGTCTACGGAGACACGGAGACACGGAGAGAGACACAGAGACACACAGAGAGACACAGAGAGACACAGAGAGAGACAGAGACACACAGAGACACACAGAGAGACACAGACACACAGAGACACGCGGTCAAAGTCGGAGCGAGCCTCTCGCTCGTTCCAGACGGCCGAGTGGGCACGGCCTCGCTTGAAGTACGCCTTCACGTTGTCTACAGAGACACGGAGAGAGACACAGAGACACACAGAGACACACAGAGACACACACAGAGACACAGAGAGAGACACACACACAGACACACAGAGACACACACAGAGACACAGAGACACACACAGAGACACACAGAGACACACACAGAGACACAGAGAGACACAGAGACACACAGACACAGAGACACGCGGTCAAAGTCGGAGCGAGCCTCTCGCTCGTTCCAGACGGCCGAGTGGGCACGGCCTCGCTTGAAGTACGCCTTCACGTTGTCTACGGAGACACAGAGACACGGAGAGAGACACAGAGAGACACAGAGAGACACACAGAGAGAGACAGAGACACACAGAGACACAGAGACACGCGGTCAAAGTCGGAGCGAGCCTCTCGCTCGTTCCAGACGGCCGAGTGGGCACGGCCTCGCTTGAAGTACGCCTTCACGTTGTCTACGGAGACACAGAGAGAGACACAGAGAGACACAGAGAGACACGGAGAGACACACAGAGACACACAGAGACACAGAGACACACAGAGACACAGAGACACAGAGACACGCGGTCAAAGTCGGAGCGAGCCTCTCGCTTGTTCCAGACGGCTGAGTGGGCACGGCCTCGCTTGAAGTACGCCTTCACGTTGTCTACGGAGACACGGAGAGAGACACAGAGACACAGAGAGACACAGACACACAGAGACACAGAGAGACACAGAGACACGCGGTCAAAGTCGGAGCGAGCCTCTCGCTCGTTCCAGACGGCCGAGTGGGCACGGCCTCGCTTGAAGTACGCCTTCACGTTGTCTACGGACAGAGACACAGACACAGAGACACACGCAGAGAGACACGGAGAGAGACAGAGAGACACAGAGACACAGAGACACGCGGTCAAAGTCGGAGCGAGCCTCTCGCTCGTTCCAGACGGCCGAGTGGGCACGGCCTCGCTTGAAGTACGCCTTCACGTTGTCTACGGACAGAGACACAGAGACACGGAGAGAGACACAGAGACACGGAGAGACACAGACACACAGAGACACACGGAGACACGGTCACAGAGAGACACAGAGACACACAGAGACACACAGAGACACACAGAGACACACAGAGAGAGACACAGAGACACACAGAGAGACACACTGAGAGACACAGAGAGAGACACAGAGACACAGAGAGACACGGAGAGACACAGAGACACACGGAGACACGGTCACAGAGAGACACAGACACACACAGAGACACACACAGAGACACACAGAGACACACAGAGAGAGACACAGAGACACACAGAGAGACACACTGAGAGACACAGAGAGAGACACAGAGACACAGAGAGACAGAGAGACACAGAGACACGCGGTCAAAGTCGGAGCGAGCCTCTCGCTCGTTCCAGACGGCCGAGTGGGCACGGCCTCGCTTGAAGTACGCCTTCACGTTGTCTACGGAGACACGGAGAGAGACACAGAGAGAGACAGAGACACACAGAGACACAGAGACACAGAGAGAGACAGAGAGACACAGAGACACGCGGTCAAAGTCGGAGCGAGCCTCTCGCTCGTTCCAGACGGCCGAGTGGGCACGGCCTCGCTTGAAGTACGCCTTCACGTTGTCTACGGAGACACAGAGACACGGAGAGAGACACAGAGAGACACGGAGAGAGACAGAGACACAGAGAGACACAGAGACACAGAGAGACACACAGAGAGACACTGAGACACAGAGAGACACAGAGACACAGAGAGACACATAGAGACACGGAGAGACACAGAGACACAGAGAGACACAGAGACACAGAGAGACACTGAGACACGGAGAGAGACACGGAGACACGGACACAGAGAGACACGGAGAGAGACACGGACAGAGCTACTATCGGTCTTCGCGTCGTCTGCGGAGAGAGTGAGTGGCACAGGTTTGTGATGTCCTGTGAGTGGCTGAACGAGCGGGTTGGTGAGCGGGTTGGTGAGTGGCTGAGCGAGCGAGCGGGTTGGTGAGCGGGTTGGTGAGTGGCTGAGCGAGCGAGCGGGTTGGTGAGCGGGTTGGTGAGCGAGTGGGCGACCGAGTTGGTGAGTGGCTGAGCGAGCGAGCGGGTTGGTGAGCGAGTGGGCGAGCGAGTTGGTGAGTGGGTGAGCGAGCGCCTGAGTGAGTGATTGAGTGAGTGGTTGAGTGAGCGAGCGAGTTGGTGAGTGGGTGAGCGAGCGCCTGAGTGAGTGATTGAGTGAGTGGCTGAGCGAGCGAGCGGGTTGGTGAGCGGGTTGGTGAGCGAGTGGGCGAGCGAGTTGGTGAGTGGCTGAGCGAGCGAGCGGGTTGGTGAGCGGGTTGGTGAGCGAGTGGGCGAGCGAGTTGGTGAGTGGGTGAGTGAGCGAGCGGGTTGGTGAGCGAATGGGCGAGCGGGTTGGTGAGTGGCTGAGCGAGCGAGCGGGTTGGTGAGCGGGTTGGTGAGCGAGTGGGCGACCGAGTTGGTGAGTGGCTGAGCGAGCGAGCGGGTTGGTGAGCGGGTTGGTGAGCGAGTGGGCGAGCGAGTTGGTGAGTGGGTGAGCGAGCGCCTGAGTGAGTGATTGAGTGAGTGGTTGAGTGAGCGAGCGAGTTGGTGAGTGGGTGCGCGAGCGCCTGAGTGAGTGATTGCGTGAGTGGCTGAGCGAGCGAGCGGGTTGGTGAGCGGGTTGGTGAGCGAGTGGGCGAGCGAGTTGGTGAGTGGCTGAGCGAGCGAGCGGGTTGGTGAGCGGGTTGGTGAGCGAGTGGGCGAGCGAGTTGGTGAGTGGGTGAGTGAGCGAGCGGGTTGGTGAGCGAATGGGCGAGCGGGTTGGTGAGTGGCTGAGCGAGCGAGCGGGTTGGTGAGCGGGTTGGTGAGCGGGTTGGTGAGCGAGTGGGCGACCGAGTTGGTGAGTGGCTGAGCGAGCGAGCGGGTTGGTGAGCGGGTTGGTGAGCGAGTGGGCGAGCGAGTTGGTGAGTGGGTGAGCGAGCGCCTGAGTGAGTGATTGAGTGAGTGGTTGAGTGAGCGAGCGGGTTGGTGAGCGAATGGGCGAGCGGGTTGGTGAGTGGCTGAGCGAGCGAGCGGGTTGGTGAGCGGGTTGGTGAGTGGCTGAGCGAGTGAGCGGGTTGGGTGAGCGGGTTGGTGAGCGAGTGGGCGAGCGAGTGGGTGAGCGAGGGAGTGAGTGAGTGGGTGAGCGAGGGAGTGAGTGAGTGGGTGAGCGAGTGAGTGGGTGAGCGAGCAGCTGAGTGAGTGATTGGGTGAGCGAGTGAGCGAGTCTCTCACCATCATACTTGTTGATGATGCTGCTCGTGAGAGAGCGGGCGAGCGAATGAGTGAGTGAGTGAGCGAGTGAGTGAGCGGGTGAATGGGTGAGCGAACGAGCGGGTGAGCGAGCGGCTGAGTGGGTCAGTGGGTGAGCGAGTGGCTAAGTGAGTGAGTGGGTTAGCGAGCGAGCGGGTGAGTGGGTGAGCGGGTGAGCGAGCGGCTGAGTAGGTGAGTGGGTGAGCGAGTGAGTGAGCGGGTGAGCGAGTGAGTGAGTGAGTGAGTGGGTGAGCGAGTGAGCGAGCGAATGAGTGAGCGAGCAAATGAGTGAGTGAGTGGGTGAGTAAGTGGGTGAGCGAGTGAGCGAGCGAGTGAGCGAGCGAGTGATCGAGCAGCTGAATGAGTGAGTGGGTGAGCGAGTGAGCGAGCGGCTTAGTGAGTGGGCGAGCAAATGAGTGAGCGAGCAGTTGAGCGAGTGAGCGGGTGAGCGAGTGAGCGAGCGGCGGAGTGAGTGGGTGAGCGAGTGAGCGAGCGGCTGAGTGAGTGAGTGAGCGAGCGGCTGAGTGAGTGATCGAGCAGCTGAGTGAGTGGGTGAGCGAGTGAGCGAGCGGCTGAATGAGTGGGTGAGCGAGTGAGCGAGCGGCTGAGTGAGTGGGTGAGCGAGTGAATGAGTGGGTGAGCGAGCGAGTGAGTGAGCGAATGAGTGATCGAGCGGCTGAGTGAGTGGGTGAGCGAGCGATTGAGTGGCTGAGTGAGCGAGCGAGTGAGCGAGTGAGTGAGTGATCGAGCAGCTGAGTGAGTGAGTGAGTGGGTGAGCGAGCGAGTGAGTGGCTGAGTGAGCGAGCGGCTGAGTGAGTGGGTGAGCGAGCGAGCGAGTGAGCGAATGAGTGAGCGAGCGACTGAGTGAGTGATCGAGCAGCTGAGTGAGTGAGTGAGCGAGCGATCGAGTGGCTGAGTGAGTGAGCGAGCGGCTGAGTGAGTGAGTGAGCGGGTGAGCGAGTTTCTCACCGTCATATTTGTTGATGATGCTGCTCGTGTGCTCGATGACTTCATAGAAGTCCCCAATGAGCAGCTTGCACTGGCAGTAGTTGAGCAGGAGGGGGTTGATCATCAGGTCCAGACGCAGCCAATGTTCATCACCGGGACGCTCCTGGATGGCCAGGCTCGGGGTCAGCGTGCACGTGGTGTGTGAGTGTGTGCGTGTGTGTACGTGTGTGTGGGTGTGTACGTGTGTAAGTGTGTACGTGTCTGTACATGTGTGAGTGTGTACGTGTGTGTACGTGTGTGTGTGTACGTGTGTGTGTGTACGTGTGAGTGTGTGTGTGTACGTGTGTACGTGTGTGTGTGTACGTGTGTGTGTGTACGTGTGTGTGTACGTGTGTGTGTGTGTACGTGTGTGTGTACGTGTGTGTGTACGTGTGTACGTGTGTGTACGTGTGTACGTGTGAGTGTATACGTGTGAGTATGTGTACGTGTGTGTGTGTGTGTGTACGTGTGAGTGTGTACGTGTGAGTGTACGTGTGTGTGTACGTGTGTGTGTACGTGTGTGTGTACGTGTGTGTACGTGTGTGTACATGTGTGTGTGAGTGTGTGTGTACGTGTGAGTGTACGTGTGTGTATGTGTGTACGTGTGTGTACGTGTGAGTGTGTGTGTGCGTGAGTGTGTGTGTGTGTACGTGTGTGTGTACGTGTGTGTACGTGTGAGTGTGTGTGTATGTAAGTGTACGTGTGTGGTACCTTCATCTGCAGGTTCTTGAGGCACACGATGGCTTCGTAGTACTTGTACGTGTGTGTGTGTGTGTACGTGTGTGAGAGTGTGTGTGTGAGTGTGTACGTGTGTGTACGTGTGTGTACTGTGTGTGTGTGTACGTGTGTGTGTGTACGTGTGTGTGTGTACGTGTGTGTACGTGTGTACGTGTGTGTATGTGTGTGTACGTGTGTGTACGTGTACTGTGTGTGTGTGTACTGTGTGTGTGTGTACTGTGTGTGTTACCTTCATCTGCAGGTTCTTGAGGCACACGATGGCTTCGTAGTACTTGTACGTGTGTGTGTACGTGTGTATGTATGTGTACGTGTGTACGTGTGTGTGTACGTGTGTATGTGTGTGTGTACGTGTGTGTACGTGTGTGTGTACGTGTATGTGTACGTGTGTACGTGTGTGTGTGTGCACGTGTGTACGTGTGTGTGTACGTGTGTACGTGTGTGTGTGTGTACGTGTGTGTACGTGTGTTTGTGTACGTGTGTGTATGTGTGTACGTGTGTGTGTGTACGTGTGTACGTGTGTGTGTGTGTACGTGTGTGTGTGTGTACGTGTGTGTGTGTGGTACGTGTGTGTGTGTGGTACGTGTGTGTGTGTATGTGTACGTGAGTGTACGTGTGAGTGTACGTGAGTGTACGTGTGTGTGTACGTGTGTGTGTGAGTGTACGTGAGAGTGTACGTGAGTGTACGTGTGTGTGTACGTGTGTGTACGTGTACGTGTGTGTGTGTACGGGTGTACGTGCGTGTGTGTACGTGTGTGTGTTTACGTGTGTACGTGTGTGTGTGTGTACGTGTGTACGTGTGTGTGTGTGTACGTGTGTGTGTGTGTACGTGTGTGTGTGTGTACGTGTGTGTACGTGTGTGTGTGTACGTGTGTGTGTGGTACGTGTGTGTGTGTATGTGTACGTAAGTGTACGTGTGAGTGTACGTGAGTGTACGTGTGTGTGTACGTGTGAGTGTACGTGAGTGTACGTGTGAGTGTACGTGAGTGTACGTGTGTGTGTACGTGTGTGTACGTGTGTGTACGTGAGTGTGTGTACGTGTGTGTGTGTGTACGTGTGTGTGTACGTGTGAGTGTACGTGAGTGTACGTGTGTTACCTTCATCTGCAGGTTCTTGAGGCACACGATGGCTTCGTAGTACTTGTACGTGTGTGTGTGTACGTGTGTACGTGTGTGTGTACGTGTGTACGTGTGTGTGTACGTGTGTGTGTGTGTACGTGTGTGTGTGTGTACGTGTGTACGTGTGAGTGTACGTGTGTGTGTACATGTGTGTGTGTACGTGTGTGTGTACGTGTGTGTGTATGTGTGTATGTGTGTGTACGTGTGTGTATGTGTGTGTGTGTACATGTGTGTGTGTACGTGTGTGTACGTGTGTGTGTGTATGTGTACGTGAGTGTACGTGTGAGTGTACGTGAGTGTACGTGTGAGTGTACGTGAGTGTACGTGTGTGTACGTGAGTGTGTGTACGTGTGTGTGTGTGTGTTACCTTCATCTGCAGGTTCTTGAGGCACACGATGGCTTCGTAGTACTTGTACGTGTGTGTGTGTACGTGTGTGTGTACGTGTGTGTGTACGTGTGTGTGTGTACGTGTGTGTGTACGTGTGTACATGTGTGTGTACGTGTGTGTGTACGTGTGTGTGTACGTGTGAGTGTACGTGTGTGTGTACATGTGTGTGTGTACGTGTGTGTGTGTACGTGTGTGTACGTGAGTGTGTGTACTGTGTGTGTGTTACCTTCATCTGCAGGTTCTTGAGGCACACGATGGCTTCGTAGTACTTGTACGTGTGTGTACATGTGTGTGTGTACGTGTGTGTGTGTGTACTGTGTGTGTGTGTACGTGTGTGTACTGTGTGTACTCCCTTCATCTGCAGGTTCTTGAGGCACACGATGGCTTCGTAGTACTTGTACGTGTACTGTGTGTACGTGTGTGTGTGTACATGTGTGTGTAAGTGTACTGTGTGTGTGTTACCTTCATCTGCAGGTTCTTGAGGCACACGATGGCTTCGTAGTACTTGTACGTGTACTGTGTGTACGTGTGTGTGTGTACATGTGTGTGTAAGTGTACTGTGTGTGTGTTACCTTCATCTGCAGGTTCTTGAGGCACACGATGGCTTCGTAGTACTTGTACGTGTGTGTGTGTGTACTGTGTGTGTGTACTGTGTGTGTGTACTGTGTGTGTACTGTGTGTGTACTGTGTGTGTACGTGTGTGTGTGTGGTACCTTCATCTGCAGGTTCTTGAGGCACACGATGGCTTCGTAGTACTTGTACGTGTGTGTGTGTGTACTGTGTGTGTGTACTGTGTGTGTGTACTGTGTGTGTACTGTGTGTGTACTGTGTGTGTACTGTGTGTGTGGTACCTTCATCTGCAGGTTCTTGAGGCACACGATGGCTTCGTAGTACTTGTACGTGTACTGTGTGTACGTGTGTGTGTGTACATGTGTGTGTAAGTGTACTGTGTGTGTGTTACCTTCATCTGCAGGTTCTTGAGGCACACGATGGCTTCGTAGTACTTGTACTGTGTGTGTGTACGTGTGTGTGTGTACTGTGTGTGTGTGTACTGTGTGTGTGTGTACTGTGTGTGTGTGTGTACTGTGTGTGTGTTACCTTCATCTGCAGGTTCTTGAGGCACACGATGGCTTCGTAGTACTTGGCGGCGGCCTCAGCGTGCTCCCCGCGTCCGAACGCGGCGTTCCCTTCCTCGTGCAGCAGGGGCACGGCGTCCATCTTCTCCCCGTCGCTCATGGCCCACGTCTCTGGGCGGTACGCCCCCGGCTCTTCCACCTGGGAGGGGGTCAGAGGGGGTCAGAGGGGGTCAGAGGGGGTCGCGACCTCGAGGACGCCGGGGGTCGCGGCGAGGCGCGCCGAGGGGGGGGGGGTCAGGGGTCAGGGGTCACGACCTTGAGGACGTCGAGGATGAAGATGAGCGGCCGCGGGTGGCGCTGCAGCTCGTCAAGGTCGGTGTGGCCCAGCGAGCGACGGTCGTGCATCTGGGCCATCCCGCAGCAGTGCCGCTGGCCCTCGAGGGCATCGCGACCCTCGGCGATGTTCCTCAGGCTGCGGGACACCGTCGGGTACAGGCCCACGTGCTGCACACACACACAGTCACAGTCACACACAGTCACACACACACAGTCACACAGTCACACACACACACAGTCACACATAGTACACACATAGTACACATAGTACACACACAGTCACATACACAGACACAGTCACACACAGTCACACACACACAGTCACACACAGTCACACACACACACAGTCACACATAGTACACACATAGTACACACACACACATAGTCACACACACACATAGTCACACACACACATAGTCACACACACACAGTCTCACACACACACAGTCTAAATGAGCAGCTATTACCAAATCATCGGCATACATAACGTGGTTGACCAATAGGGAGCCATCCCTTGACCGCACCCGGGCATCGATCAGCCTCCCATTATATCTGTACCATATGGAGATTCCCCCGGTACAGCTATTGAAGGCTTCACGAACTACACACACACCCACACACACACACCCACACACCATCATGAAGGTCCTTAATGATCGTGAGCAGAGGGTCAGGTACTCCAAAAGCACGAAGAACAACCCAGAGCCCAGGCCTACTGATGGTATCATAGGCCTTGACCAGGTCAATAGAGCAGAGATGTAGGTCTTACTGGAATTCCCTACACCTCTGCTGTAGCAAACGGACAGAAAATATGGCATCTGTGCAGGACCGCCCTTTCCTGAAACCGCATTGGGGCTCCGCAAGCCTCTCCTCAGGGTGCCTGGCAAGGCGATGTTGAATAATCCTTGCCAGGACCTTTCCCGGCACACTGAGGAGTGAGATGCCCCTGTAGTTGTTACAGTCTGTGCGGTCCCCCTTCTTAAAAAGGGGGACCACCAGGGCATCCTTCCAATCCTGCAGAACCCGTCCAGTGGTCCAGACTGTTGTTATGATGTCATTTAGGGCAGTCTGTGCACAAACACCACCCTCCCTCAGCATTTCGCTTGGGAGATCATCTCTGCCCGGTGCCTTTCCTGGTCTCAGACTCCGGATCGCCTTCAGTACTTCCTCAACAGATGGCACCTCAGCCAGCCACTCACAGGGGGTGACTTCTTCCAATATTTGAGGCACCGCAGCCTCAGCAGGGTCATCCTCACTTTGTGCCACGATGTTTTCCTGGCTGAGCGATTTTCCCTCCCCCAGGACCTCACAGAAATGCTCAGCAAATCTGCAAACCTGTTCCTGGGGGTAGGAGATTGGATCACCGTTTTTTCCCCTAATGATGGTTATAGGTGTGGCACTGCAGGTTACTTTTTTGATGGAGTTAAATAGAGATTTGTGATCACGGGCCACTGAGGCAGACTCCATCTCCTCAGCAACCCGCGACCACCACCCATCCTTGCAGCGCCTCACGGCTCTCCGAACCTCCGAGCAAAGGCCACGGTAAGCCTCCTCATTCTCTGAAGTTGGATTCTGTAGCCGATGACAGTGGGCCTGTCGCTTTTTCTCAACCATCCTGAACACCTCCTCTGTCAGCCAGGGTGTCTGGGGAGGTCTGGACCGCGTACCCAAAGCAGCCATTGCAGCTGCATGAGTCACAGTCCTAAACCTCGCCCATTTACCCTCGACATCAGGAGGAGTCGGGGACGATGCCAATCCCAGCCGCAAGCGATGATGAAATTCTCGCTTGCAACTTTCATCAGATAACTGAGACCAGGCCACTTTAGGTCGGAATGGGGTCCTGGGTGTACACCCACCATCGGAGTGGAAGAATGGCAGGTGCATCTTACAGATGACTAGTCGATGGTCAGAGGGCAGATCAGCTCCACGGTAGGTCCTGGTGTCAAGGACATGGGTTCGCATCCGCTGGTCCGTCACTACGTAGTCCAGCAGATGTTCTTGCTTGGACCCGGCATGCATCCATGATGTTGTGTGGATGCACCGATGCCGGAACAGCGTGTTGGTAATTACAAGCCCATGGGCTGCACAAAAATCTAGCAGCCTCCTACCGTTGTTATTGAGCTGATCTGGCCCATGCCCTCCAATCACTCCAGACCAGGTGCCAGTATCATGACCAACTCGGGCATTGAAGTCACCCAACATGATGACTCTATCCCGAGGGGCCACTTTAGCCAGCACCTGTGACAGGAGGTCATAGAAGGCATCTGACTCATCGGCTTTGCCTGCATCCCTCCACGGATGTTCATCTTCGGTGGGGACATAAGTAACCACGACCACCATTCCTCGCCTCCGGTTGATGGGAAGGCGAGCCCAAAGTAGCCTGGGGCTTACAGCTTCCCACACCTCACCGCCACGCTCCCACGCCCCCTTCATTCTTTTGTTCAAAAGAAGAGCCACACCCTGTTGTTTGGCAGTCTGCTGCCCCGAGTAGAGGACTGTCCACCCCTCCCGGTGGCAGGAGCCAGAGCCGGTCCACCGGACCTCCTGAATGCCACATAGATCCAGGCGGTACCGGTCCAGCTCCCGACAGAGGAGTGGCAGCCTCTCCTCCGCAGTGAGCGTTCAAACATTCCACGTAGCCACACACACACACAGTCACACACACACACAGTCACACACACACACACACAGTCACACACACACATACACAGAGTCACACACACAGTCACACAGTCACACACATACAGTCACACACAGTCACACGAACACAGTCACACACACAGTACACACACACACACACAGTCACACACACAGTACACACAGAGTCACACACACAGTACACACACAGTCACACACACACAGTCACACAGTCACACACACACATACACACAGTCACACACACACACAGTCACACACACAGTCACACACAGTCACACACACACACACAGTCACACACACACATAGTCACACACACATACGGTCACCCACCCACCCCACCCCACCGTACCTGCACGTCGCACCAGAACTCCGCCACCTCTCCGAGCCTCATGGAGCTGAGCAGCGTCTCCCACACGCTCAGCTTGAACTTCTTTCCCACGATGAGCTCCATGGGCTTGGGCCCACAGCGGCTGTCGTCCACCAGCGTGCGCGTGGCTCCGCCCTCCGCATTCTCCTCCCCGCCGCTGCCGTTGCCTTCGTGCAGCGTGCGGTAGTGGAACGTCACCTGGCAACAGCAGCAGCAGCATTAGACACGCCCCCCTGAGGCCTGGGTTGGACTCTCGCAACACTCACTCACACACTCACTCACCCACTCACTCATACACTCACCCACTCACTCATACACTCACCCACTCACTCACCCACTCACTCACACACTCACTCATACACTCACCCACTCACTCATACACTCACTCACTCATACACTCACTCACTCACTCATACACTCACTCACTCACCCACTCACTCATACACTCACCCACCCACTCACTCATACACTCACTCACACACTCACTCATACACTCACCCACTCACTCACTCACACACCCACTCACTCACTCACCCACTCACTCACTCACCCACTCACACACTCACTCATACACCCACTCACTCACTCACCCACTCACTCACACACCCACTCACTCACTCACACACTCACTCACCCACTCACTCACTCACCCACTCACTCACCCACTCACCCACTCACTCACTCACCCACTCACTCACTCATACACCCACTCACTCATACATTCACTCACCCACTCACTCACTCACCCACTCACTCACTCATACACTCACTCACTCACCCAAGCACCCAACCACCCACCCGGTCTGCCACCCACCCACCCACTCATCCACCCACCCACTCACCCACCCACTCACCCACTCACCCACTCACCCACCCACCCACTCACCCACTCACTCACCCACTCACCCACCCACCCACTCACTCACTCACCCACCCACCCACCCACTCACCCACTCACCCACTCACCCAAGCACCCACCCACCCACTCACCCACCCACTCACCCACCCACCCACCCAAGCACCCACTCACCCACCCACTCACCAACCCACCCACTCACTCACCCACTCACCAACCCACCCACCCACCCACCCACCCACCCACCCACCCACCCACTCACCCACCCACCCACTCACCCACCCACTCACCCACTCACCCACCCACTCACCCACTCACCCACCCACTCACCCACCCACTCACTCACCCACTCACTCACCCATCCAACCACCCTCCTCTCTGCGGGCCACAGTGCCGCCGCCGCTCGCCGCCACTCGCCGCTACTAACAGCGCCGGCCTCAACAGCGCCGGCCTCAACAGCGCCGGCCTCAACAGCTCCGGCCTCAACAGCGCCGGCCTCAACAGCGGAACGCCACCGAGGAGAGATGTCAACTACCTCGCCTGGCACGCAGGAGGTCGCGGGTTCAGGAGGTCGTGGGTTCAGGAGGTCGCGGGTTCAGGAGGTCACGGGTTCAGGAGGTCGCGGGTTCAGGAGGTCGCGGGTTCAGGTCACGGGTTCAGGAGGTCACGGGTTCAGGAGGTCGCGGGTTCAGGAGGTCACGGGTTCAGGAGGTCGCGGGTTCAGGAGGTCACGGGTTCAGGAGGTCACGGGTTCAGGATGTCACGGGTTCAGGAGGTCACGGGTTCAGGAGGTCGCGGGTTCAGGATGTCACGGGTTCAGGAGGTCGCGGGTTCAGGAGGTCGCGGGTTCAGGAGGTCACGGGTTCAGGAGGTCGCGGGTTCAGGTCACGGGTTCAGGAGGTCGCGGGTTCAGGAGGTCACGGGTTCAGGAGGTCACGGGTTCAGGATGTCACGGGTTCAGGAGGTCACGGGTTCAGGAGGTCACGGGTTCAGGAGGTCGCGGGTTCAGGAGGTCGCGGGTTCAGGTCACGGGTTCAGGAGGTCACGGGTTCAGGAGGTCGCGGGTTCAGGAGGTCGCGGGTTCAGGAGGTCGCGGGTTCAGGAGGTCACGGGTTCAGGAGGTCGCGGGTTCAGGAGGTCACGGGTTCAGGAGGTCGCGGGTTCAGGAGGTCGCGGGTTCAGGAGGTCACGGGTTCAGGAGGTCGCGGGTTCAAGGGGTCGCGGGTTCAGGAGGTCGCGGGTTCAGGAGGTCGCGGGTTCAGGAGGTCGCGGGTTCAGGTCGCGGGTTCAGGAGGTCACGGGTTCAGGAGGTTACGGGTTCAGGTCGCGGGTTCAGGAGGTCACGGGTTCAGGAGGTTACGGGTTCAGGTCGCGGGTTCAGGAGGTCACGGGTTCAGGAGGTCGCGGGTTCAGGAGGTCGCGGGTTCAGGAGGTCGCGGGTTCAGGAGGTCACGGGTTCAGGAGGTCGCGGGTTCAGGAGGTCACGGGTTCAGGAGGTCGCGGGTTCAGGAGGTCGCGGGTTCAGGAGGTCACGGGGTCAGGAGGTCGCGGGTTCAGGAGGTCGCGGGTTCAGGAGGTCGCAGGTTCAGGAGGTCACGGGTTCAGGAGGTCGCGGGTTCAGGTCGCGGGTTCAGGTCGCGGGTTCAGGAGGTCACGGGTTCAGGAGGTTACGGGTTCAGGTCGCGGGTTCAGGTCACGGGTTCAGGAGGTCGCGGGTTCAGGTCGCGGGTTCAGGAGGTCGCGGGTTCAGGAGATCGCGGGTTCAGGAGGTCACGGGTTCAGGAGGTCGCGGGTTCAGGAGGTCGCGGGTTCAGGAGGTCACGGGTTCAGGAGGTCACGGGTTCAGGTCACGGGTTCAGGAGGTCACGGGTTCAGGAGGTCGCGGGTTTAGGTCACGGGTTCAGGAGGTCACGGGTTCAGGAGGTCACGGGTTAGATCCCGACCCTGACGATGCCTGCTGCTGCTGCTGCATATTTGGAGTTAACATCTCCCTCTCTGGTGAGATGTTAACTCCCTCACCACACACACCCTCACCACACACCCTCACCACACACACCCTCACCACACACCCTCACCACACACCCTCACCACACACTCACCACACCCCCCTCACCACACCCCCTCACCACACACACCCTCACCACACACCCCCTCACCACACACACCCTCACCACACACACCCTCACCACACACACCCTCACCACACACACCCTCACCACACACCCTCACCACACACTCACCACACCCCCCTCACCACACCCCCTCACCACACACACCCTCACCACACACCCCCTCACCACACACCCTCACCACACACACCCTCACCACACACCCTCACCACACACCCTCACCCCCCCCTCACCACACCCCCTCACCACACACTCACCACACTCCCTCACCACACACCCTCACCACACTCCCTCACCACACACCCTCACCACACCCCCTCACCACACCCCCTCACCACACACCCTCACCACACACCCTCACCACACACCCTCACCACACCCCCTCACCACACACCCTCACCACACACCCTCACCACACACCCTCACCACACCCTCACCACACACCCTCACCACACACCCTCTCACCACACCCCCTCACCACACACACCCTCACCACACACCCTCACCACACACCCTCACCACACACCCCCTCACCACACACCCCCTCAGCACACACCCTCACCACACACCCTCACCACACACCCTCACCACACACACTCACCACACCCTCACCACACACCCTCACCACACACCCTCACCACACACCCTCACCACACACCCCCTCACCACACACCCCCTCAGCACACACCCTCACCACACACCCTCACCACACCCTCACCACACACCCTCACCACACACCCTCACCACACACCCACACCACACACCCCCCTCACCACACACCCCCTCACCACACACCCTCACCACACACCCTCACCACACCCTCACCACACACCCTCACCACACACCCTCACCACACACCCTCACCACACACCCCCTCACCACACACCCCCTCAGCACACACCCTCACCACACACCCTCACCACACACACTCACCACACACCCTCACCACACACCCTCACCACACACACCCTCACCACACACACTCACCACATTCCCTCACCACCCCCCCCACCCCCCCCCCTCACCACACACCCTCACCACCCTCACCCCCCCCTCACCCCCCTCACCACCCTCACCACACCCCTCACCACACACCCTCACCACACACACTCACCACACCCTCACCACACACCCTCACCACACACCCTCACCACACACCCTCACCACACACCCCCTCACCACACACCCCCTCACCACACACCCCCTCAGCACACACCCTCACCACACACCCTCACCACACCCTCACCACACACCCTCACCACACACCCTCACCACACACCCTCACCACACACCCCCTCACCACACACCCCCTCAGCACACACCCTCACCACACACACTCACCACACACCCTCACCACACACCCTCACCACACACACCCTCACCACACACACTCACCACATTCCCTCACCACCCCCCTCACCCCCCCCCCCTCACCACACACCCTCACCACCCTCACCCCCCCCTCACCCCCCTCACCACCCTCACCACACCCCTCACCACACCCCCTCACCCCCCCCTCACCCCCCCCCCTCACCCCCCCCCTCACCCCCCCCCCCACCTTGGTGCCATCCGCGTACTGGGGCAGTTCCCCCCTGCCTGCGTGTAGCACAGACTTGGTGATCCCCGGCTCGCCCAGCAGCAGGGCGCGCTCCACCATGGCGGCGGTGGTGGTGGTGGTGACGACAGTGGTGGTGGTGACAGTGGTAGTGGTGGTGGTTGTTGTTGTGGTGACGGTGGTGGTGACGGTGGTGGTGACAGTGGTGGTGACAGTGGTGGTAGTGGTGGTGACAGTGGTGGTGGTGACAGTGGTGGTGAGAGTGGTAGTGGTGGTGACAGTGGTAGTAGTGGTGACAGTGGTGGTGGTGACAGTGGTGGTGACAGTGGTGGTTGTTGTTGTGGTGACAGTGGTGGTGGTGACAGTGGTGGTTGTTGTTGTGGTGACGGTGGTGGTGACGGTGGTGGTGACAGTGGTGGTGGTGACAGTGGTGGTAGTGGTTGTTGTGGTGACGGTGGTGGTGACAGTGGTGGTGGTGACAGTGGTGGTAGTGGTTGTTGTGGTGACAGTGGTGGTGGTGGTGGTAGTGGTGGCGACAGTGGTGACAGTGGTGGTGACGGTGGTTGTGGTGGTGACAGTGGTGGTGGTGACGGTGGTTGTGGTGGTGACAGTGGTGGTGGTGACAGTGGTGGTGGTGACAGTTGTTGTTGTCGCTAGGAAGACGAGGGCAGTGTCCGCTTGTGGTGATGGTGGTGACAGTGGTGGTGGTGACAGTGGTGATGGTGGTGACAGTGGTTGTGACAGTGGTGGTTGTGGTTGTTGCTAAGAAGACGAGGGCAGTGTCCGCTTGTGGCGGTGGTGATGGTGGTTTGAGTCAGGAATGGCGGCTTTCAAGCTCACCTCCTTGTCGATTCGCGATTCGCAACCACAACCGATTTACCCCCTCAATTCGATTCCTCGCTTGCAACGCGCGTTGGGGGGGCCGGTTTCGATTCCTCCCGTACGTTAAAGGAAGCGTTGGAATCGTTCAGCGTAATCGATAAATACTGGAATCGATGTCGATTTCGCTGGAGGACCGGCTCGAGACAACTTGGGGGGGGGAAGAGAGGATGGGGGGGGGCTTCAGTTCTCGCGAGACCTGCGGGAGGGGGGTAATCTCGCGAGAGTTGGCGAGGGGTGGTGTTCTCGTGAGACTTGCTGGAGGGGGTATTTCGCGAGTTTGCTGTGCGGCGGTGGTGATCTCGCGAGAGTTCGCGGGTGGTGGGGGGTCTCGCGAGACTTACGCGGTGGGGGGGGGGGTTAATCTCGCGAGACTTGTGGCGGTGGTAATCTCGCGAGAGTTCATGGGTAGTCAGCACGTGGCTCTGATACGCAAAATAAATCCGGAAAATCTGAAATGAAAATTCGATTTAAAGCTTTCGTGACTGCAGGGATTCATCTTCTTGGTTCTTTCGGTAAAGTCACCACCACGTAGAATGGAAACAATAAAATAATAAAAATATAAAACAATAACATTATTATTCTTGGTTCTTTCGGTAAAGTCACCACCACGTAGAAGGGAAACAATAAAATAATAAAAATATAAAACAATAAAATTATTATTCTTGGTTCTTTCGGTAAAGTCACCACCACGTAGAATGGAAACAATAAAATAATAAAAATAAAACGTTATAAAATATTTTTTTATTTCATTTTTATTTATTTTTTAAATCAAAATTTGCTTTGTAGTGATTGTCCGTCCATCATATCTGCCGGGTACTACTACACCACGTAGCGCACCCCACACTCCTCCCCCCTTTCTTACCTCTATAACCTCTTACCGCGGCAACTCTCTGGCCTACTTCAGCAAAACATTTCTTGCCGTGGTTTTTCCCACCTGATGATGATTGCTTGTGTTGCAATGGAGACGTCGTGAATTAATTTATTATATATTTTTTACCTACGTATAGTGTGGTTTTAAATTTCGATTTAAAGCTTTCGTGACTGCAGGGATTCATATTCTTGGTTCTTTCGGTAAAGTCACCACCACGTAGATAGGGAAACAATAAAATAATAAAAATATATAAAACAATAAAATTATTATTCTTGGTTCTTTCGGTAGTCACCACCACGTAGATAGGGAAACAATAAAATAATAAAAATATAAAACAATAAAATTATTATTCTTGGTTCTTTCGGTAAAGTCACCACCACGTAGAAGGGAAACAATAAAATAATGAAAATATAAAACAATAAAATTATTGTAAAACAATAAAATGATTATTCATTGGTTCTTTCGGTAAAGTCACCACCACGTAGATAAGGGAAACAACAAAATAATAAAAAAATATAAAACAATAAAATTCTCACGACGTTTCGACTGCAACACCAAGCAATCATCATCATCAGGTGTGAAAACCACAGGCAAGAACATTTGAAAAAAAAAAGTGGCTAACGTTCAGAAAAAAAAGCGCCACTTTTTTCAAATGTTCTTGCCGTGATTTTCACACCTGACGATGACGATTGCCTGGTGGTATCGGGGGCTGGGGACCCCTGCGCTAGCGGGTTCCAGGGGGCCCTCGAGGCGGGGTCCTCCGTGACCCTTGCCCCGGTTCCTCCGCCCTGCCAACGCACAGCGGGGCTCACGCCCTCGCCGGCGCGTGTCTGCCGTCTGCTGCCCACCACGGCCGCCGCTACTACACTACGCCGAGTATGAATGAGAATGGGTGGGAGAGTGAGTGAGTGGGTGAGTTGGTGAATGGGTGGGAGAGTTAGTGAGTGGGTGGGAGAGTGAGTGGGTGGGTGGGAGAGTTAGTGAGTGGGTGGGAGGGTGAATGAGTGGGTGGGAGGGTGAGTGGGTGGGTGAGTAAGTGAGTGGGAGAGTGACTGGGTGGGTGGGTCGGAGAGTGAGTGGGTGGATGAGTGAGTGGGTGAATGGGTGGGAGGGTGAATGAGTGGGTGAGTGGGTGGGTGAGTGGGTGGGAGAGTGGGTGAGTGAGTAGGTGGGTGAGTGGGAGAGTGAGTGGGTGGGTGGGAGAATGAGTGGGTGAGTGGGTAGGTGGGAGAGTTAGTGAGTGGGTGAGTGGGTGGGTGGGTGGGAGAGTGAGTGGGAGAGTGAGTGGGTGAGTGGGTAGGTGGAAGAGTGAGTGAGTGGGTGAGTTAGTGAATGGGTGGGAGAGTTAGTGAGTGGGTGGGAGAATGAGTGGGTGAGTGGGTGGGTGGGAGAGTTAGTGAGTGGGTGGGAGAGTTAGTGAGTGGGTGAGTGGGTGGGTGGGAGAGTGAATGGGTGGGTGGGAGAGTGAATGGGTGGGTGGGAGAGTTAGTGAGTGGGTGGGTGGGAGAGTGAATGGGTGGGTGGGACAGTCAGTGAGTGGGTGAGTGAATGGGTGGGAGAGTTAGTGAGTGAGTGGGTGGGAGTGTTAGTGAGTGGGTGGGAGAGTGAGTGGGTGAGTGGGTGGGTGGGAGAGTTAGTGAGTGGGTGGGAGAGTGAGTGGGTGAGTGGGTGAGTGAATGGGTGGGAGTGTTAGTGAGTGGGTGGGAGAGTGAGTGGGTGAGTGGGTGGGAGAGTTAGTGAGTGGGTGGGTGGGAGAGTGAATGGGTGGGTGGGTGGGAGAGTTAGTGAGTGGGTGGGAGCGTGAGTGGGTGAGTGGGTGGGAGGGAGAGTGAATGGGTGGGTGGGAGTGTTAGTGAGTGGGTGGGTGGGAGAGTGAATGGGTGGGTGGGAGAGTTAGTGAGTGGGTGGGAGAGTGAGTGAGTGGGTGGGTGGGAGAGTGAGTGGGTGGGTGGGAGAGTGAGTGGGTGGGTGGGAGAGTGGGTGGGAGAGTTAGTGAGTGGGTGAGTGGGTGGGTGGGAGAGTGAGTGGGTGGGTGGGAGAGTGAGTGGGTGAGTGGGTGGGTGGGTGGGAGAGTGAGTGAGTGGGTGGGAGAGTGAGTGGGTGGGTGGGAGAGTGAATGGGTGGGTGGGAGGGTTAGTGAGTGGGTGGGAGAGTGAGTGGGTGGGTGGGAGAGTGAATGGGTGGGTGGGAGAGTGAGTGGGTGAGTGGGTGGGTGGGAGAGTGAATGGGTGGGTGGGAGAGTTAGTGAGTGGGTGGGAGAGTGAGTGGGTGGGTGGGAGAGTTAGTGAGTGGGTGGGTGGGAGAGTGAGTGGGTGGGAGAGTGAGTGGGTGGGTGGGTGGGAGAGTGAGTGGGTGAGTGAATGGGTGGGTGGGTGGGAGAGTGAGTGGGTGGGTGGGAGAGTGAGTGAGAGGGTGGGAGAGTGAATGGGTGGGAGAGTTAGTGAGTGGGTGAGTGGGTGGGAGAGTGGGTGGGTCGGTGAGTGAGTGGGTGGGTCGGTGAGTGAGTGAGTGGGTGAATTAGAGAGTGGGAGAGTGAGTGGGTTGGAGAGTGAGTGGGTGGGAGAATGGGTGACTGACTGACTGAGTTAGTGACTGGGTGGGTGGGTGAGAGGGTGGGTGACTGACTGAGTGAGTTAGTGACTGGGTGGGCTGATGCCACCTCAGTCGTTTCCTCCCGAAGAATGTCTCCTCGCTCCTCACCACTCCTCCTTCTGCTGCTGCTACCGCCACGACCCTCCACGTCCTCCTCACCTCCCTCCTCACCTCCCTCCTCACCTCCCTCCTCACCTCACCCGCCGAACGCCGACGGCTACCGCAAGGGCGCCTACACGGTGAGTGAGTGGGTGGGTGAGTGGGTGAGTGGGTAAGTGAGTAGGTGGGTGGGTGAGTGAGTGGGTGGGTGAGTGGGTGAGTGAGTGAGTGGGTGAGTAAGTGAGTAGGTGAGTGGGTGGATGAGTGGGTGGGTGGGTGAGTGGGTGAGTAGGTCGGTGAGTAAGTGGATGAGTGAGTGGGTGAGCAGGTGAGTAGGTGAGTGGGTGGGTGAGTGAGTGGGTGAGTGGGTGGGTGAATGAGTGGGTGAGAGTGAGTGGGTGAGTGGGTGGGTGAGTGAGTGGGTGAGTAGGTGAGTGAGTAGGAGGGTGGGTGAGTGGGTGGGTGAGTGAGTGGGTGTGTGAGTGAGTGAGTGGGTGAGTGGGTGGGTAGGTGGGTGAGTGGGTGGGTGAGTGAGTAGGTGCGTGGGTGGGAGAGTGGGTGATTGGGTCGGAGAGAGAGTGGATGGATGAGTGAATGGGTGGGTGAGTGTGTGAGTGACTGAGTGGGTGAGTGAGTGGGTGAGTCGGTCAGTGAGTAGGTGAGAGATGGGTGAGTCGGTCAGTGAGTAGGTGAGTGAGTGGGTGAGTGAGGGGGTGAGTAGGTGAGTGAGTGGGTGAGTGAGTGGCTGAGTAGGTGAGTGAGTGGGTGAGTAGGTGAGTAGGTGAGTGGGTGATTAGGTGAGTGGGTGAGTAGGTGAGTGAGTGGGTGAGGTGAGTGGGTGGGTGAGTAGGTGAGTGGATGAGTAGGTGAGTGAGTGGGTGAGTAGGTGAGTGAGTGGGTGGGTGAGTAGGTGAGTGAGTTGTGAGTGAGTAGGTGAGTGAGTGGGTGAGTAGGTGAGTGAGTGGGTGAGTAGGTGAGTGAGTGGGTGAGGTGAGTGGGTGGGTGAGTAGGTGAGTGGATGAGTAGGTGATTGAGTGGGTGTGTAGGTGAGTGAGTGGGTGGGTGAGTAGGTGAGTGAGTGGGTGGGTGAGTAGGTGAGTGAGTGGGTGAGTGAGGAGGTGAGTGAGTGGGTGGGTAGGTGAGTGAGTGGGTGAGTAGGTGAGTGAGTGGGTGAGGTGAGTGGGTGAGTGAGTAGGTGAGTGGATGAGTAGGTGAGTGAGTGGGTGAGTGGGTGAGTAGGTGAGTGGATGAGTAGGTGAGTGAGTGGGTGAGTAGGTGAGTGAGTGGGTGGGTGAGTGAGTGGGTGGGTCGGAGAGTGAGTGGGTGAGTATGTGAGTGAGTAGGTGAGTGAGTGGGTGAGGTGAGTGGGTGAGTGAGTAGGTGAGTGAGTGGGTGGGTGAGTAGGTGAGTGAGTGGGTGAGTAGGTGAGTGAGTAGGTGAGTGAGTGGGTGAGTAGGTGAGTGTGTGGGTGAGGTGAGTGGGTGAGTGAGTGGGTGGGTGAGTAGGTGAGTGAGTGGGTGAGTAGGTGAGTGAGTAGGTGAGGTGAGTGAGTGAGTAGGTGAGTGAGTGAGTGGGTGAGTAGGTGAGTGAGTGGGTGGGTGAGTGAGTGGGTGAGTGAGTAGGTGAGTGAGTGGGTGGGTGAGTGAGTGGGTGGGTCGGAGAGTGAGTGACTGGGTGGGTGGGTGAGAGGGTGAGTGTGTGGGTGAGGTGAGTGGGTGGGTGAGTAGGTGAGTGAGTGGGTGGGTGAGTAGGTGAGTGAGTGGGTGAGTAGGTGAGTGAGTAGGTGAGGTGAGTGAGTGGGTGAGTAGGTGAGTGAGTGGGTGAGTGAGTAGGTGAGTGAGTGGGTGGGTGAGTAGGTGAGTGAGTGGGTGGGTGAGTGAGTGGGTGGGTCGGAGAGTGAGTGACTGGGTGGGTGGGTGAGAGGGTGGGTGACTGACTGAGTGAGTTAGCGACTGGGTGGGCTGATGCCACCTCAGTCGTTTTCCTCCCGAGTAATGTCTCCTAGCTCCTCACCACTCCTCCTTCTCCTCCTGCTGCTGCCGCCACGACCCTCCTCCACGTCCTCCTCACCTCACCCGCCGGACGCCGACGGCTACCGCGAGGGCGCCTACACCAACCCCGCCGACCTCCCCGCCGAGCTCCGCCGCCTCGCCCGGGCTCACCCGCGCCTCGTCCGGCTCATCTCGCTAGGCGAGCCCGAGGCTGGCCGCGGCGTCTGGGCCCTGCGCCTCGGCGCCGCCGTCGCCGCCGAGGCGCGGGGCCCAGAGGCGCGGGGCCCAGAGGCGCCTGGCAGCCTCGCCTCGCTAGGCGAGCCCGAGGCTGTCCGCGGCCTACGGGTCCCGCGCTTCGCCGCCGCCGCCGTCGCCGAGACGCGGGGCCGAGGCGCGGGGCCCAGAGGCAGCGGCCAGCTAGGCGAGACCGAGGCTGTCCGCGGCCTACGGGCCCCGCGCCTCGCCGCCGCCGCCGCCGCGGAGGCTGTCCGCGGCCTACGGGCCCCGCGCCTCGCCGCCGCTACCGCCGCTACCGCCGCCGCCGCGGAGGCGACCAGCCTCGGGCTCGCCTCGCTAGGCGAGCCCGAGGCTGTCCGCGGCCTACGGGCTCCGCGTCTCGGGGAACGCCGCGACGCGGGCGGCGGCGGCGGCGGGAAGCCTCGGGTCAGGGTCGTGGCCGTCGAGGCCCCGGCTCGGCAGCTCGCCCTGCGCCTTGCCTGGCACCTGGCGGCGGCGCACGAGAGGGGCGAGGCGAGGGCGAGGCGGCTTCTGGACGGCGTCGACCTCCACGTCGTGCTGGGGGTGGTGCAGGGGGTGGTGGAGCAGGAGGGCGACTGCGTTGGGGGTGGTGGTGGTGGTGAGTGGTGGTGGGGGTGGTGGTGAGGGTGGTGGTGAGTGGTGGTGTTGAGGGTGGTGGGGGTGGTGGTGAGGGTGAGTGGTGGTGAGTGGGTGAGGGGGGTGAGTGGTGGTGGTGAGTGGTGAGGGGGGTGAGTGGTGGTGGTGAGTGGTGGTGGTGAGGGTGGTGGTGAGGGTGAGTGTGGGTGAGTGTTGTGAGTGTGAGGGGGGTGGTGAGGGTGGTGTGAGGGTGGTGAGGGTGAGTGGTGGTGAGAGGGGTGAGGGTGGTGGTGAGGGTGAGTGTTGTGAGGGTGGTAGTGAGGGTGAGGGGGGTGAGGGTGGTGGTGAGTGTTGTGAGTGGTGGTGAGGGTGGTGAGGGGGGTGGTGGTGAGGGTGAGTGTTGTGAGGGTGGTGAGGGTAGTGGTGGTGAGTGGTGGTGAGGGGGGTGAGGATGTGGTGAGGGGGGTGAGGGGGGTGGTGAGGGTGAGTGTTGTAAGGGTGGTGAGGGTAGTGGTCGTGAGGGTGGTGGTGTTGTGAGGGTGCGTGAGGTGGTGGTGGTAGTGGTATTGAGGGTAGTAGTGGTAGTAGTAGTGGTGGTGAGGGTGGTAGTGGTAGTAGTGGTAGTGGTGGTAGTAGTAGTGGTAGTAGTAGTGGTGGTGGTAGTAGTGGTGGTGAGGGTGGTGGTGGTAGTAGTGGTGGTAGTGGTAGTGGTGGTAGTGGTGGTGAGGGTGGTGGTGGTAGTAGTGGTGGTGGTAGTGGTGGTAGTGGTAGTAGTGGTGGTGAGGGTGGTAGTGGTGAGGGTGGTGATAGTAGTGGTAGTGGTGGTGAGGGTGGTGGTAGTAGTGGTGGTGGTGTTGTGAGGGTAGTAGTGGTAGTGGTGGTGGTAGTAGTAGTGGTGGTGAGGGTGGTGGTGGTAGTGGTGGTAGTGGTGGTGGTAGTAGTGGTGGTGAGGGTGGTAGTGGTGAGGGTGGGGAGGGTGGTGGTAGTAGTGGTGGTGGTGTTGTGAGGGTAGTAGTGGTAGTGGTGGTAGTGGTGGTGGTAGTAGTTGTGGTGGTGGTAGTGGTGGTGAGGGTGGTGGTAGTAGTGGTCGTGGTGGTGATAGTGGTGGTGTTGTGAGGTTAGTAGTGGTAGTAGTGGTATTGGTGATAGTGGTGGTGGTAGTAGTGGTAGTAGTGGTTAGGGTGGTGGTGATGAGGGTAGTAGTAGTGGTGGTAGTGGTGGTGGTGGTAGTAGTGGTAGTGAGGGTGGTGGTGGTGGTGGTGGTGTTGATGGTGATGTTGATGATGGTGGAGGTGGTGATTATGGTGGAGGTGGTGGTGGTGTTGATGATGGTGGTGTTGATAATGGTGGTGGTGGTGATGGTGGTGATGGTGATGATGATGGAGGTGGTGGTGATGTTGATGGAGGTGGTGTTGATGGAGGTGGTGTTGATGATGATGGAGGTGGTGGTGGTGTTGATGATGGTGGTGTTGATGGAGGTGGTAGTGGTGTTGATGGAGGTGGTAGTGGTGTTGATGATGGTGGAGGTGGTGATGATGGTGGAGGTGGTGGTGGTGTTGATGGAGGTGGTGTTGATGATGGTGGAGGTGGTGATGATGGTGGAGGTGGTGATGATTGTGGAGGTGGTGGTGTTGATGTTGGTGGTGTTGATGATGGTGGAGGTGGTGATGATGGTGGAGGTGATGGTGGTGTTGATGGAGGTGGTGATGATGATGGTGGAGGTGGTGTTGATGATGGTGGAGGTGGTGGTGTTGATGGTGGAGGTGGTGATGATGGTGGAGGTGGTGGTGGTGTTGATGGTGGAGGTGGTGGTGGTGTTGATGGTGGAGGTGGTGATGATGGTGCAGGTGGTGGTGGTGTTGATGGTGGTGGAGGTGCTGGTGTTGATGGTGGAGGATTGTGATGGTAGTGGAGGTGAGGGAGATGAGGGGGGTGGTGAAGGTGGTGGTTGTAACTGTTAACGGTAGAACACTGATTTTGATGATGACGACGATGAAGATGACGACGATGACGACGATGATGATCATGACGATGATGATCATGACGATGATGACGATGATGATGATCATGACGATGATGACGATGATGACGACGATGATGATGCTGATGATGACGATGATGATGACGACGATGCTGACGACGATGATGCTGATGATGACGATGATGCTGATGATGATGACGACGACGATGATCATGATGATTATGACGACGATGATGCTGACGACGATGCTGATGATGATGCTGACGACAACGATGATGCTGATGATGATGACGACGATGATGACGACGACGACGATGATGCTGATGATGACGACGCTGATGAGATGCTGATCATGACAACGACGATGATCATGATGACGACGACGACGCTGACGACGATGATGCTGACGACGATGCCGACACTGACGACGGCGGCGGTGTTGTCACGTCAGGCCCAGCGCAGGAGGAGCCTCACTCTCCGGTGACCCAGGCCGCCGTGAGGCGGTGGCTTCGCGAGCGAAACTTCGTGCTGTCGGGTAACGCGGCCTCACTCACAGCGACAGACAAACACAACACAACACAAACAACAACAACAACAACGGAAACTCCTCTTTAAATGCATCTCATCTTTGGCGTAAGCAAAGACCTTGATGTCTGCGTCTCAAGCAGAAAACCTCTCTACACTATACACTACTACACTATAGTGTACACTACACTATACACTACTACACTATACACTACAGTGTACACTACACTATACACTACTACACTACAGTGTACACTACACTATACACTACTACACTATACACTACAGTGTACACTACACTATACACTACTACACTACAGTGTACACTACACTATACACTACTACACTACAGTGTACACTACACTATACACTACTACACTACAGTGTACACTACACTATACACTACTACACTACAGTGTACACTACACTATACACTACTACACTACAGTGGACACTACACTATACACTACTACACTACAGTGTACACTACACTATACACTACTACACTACAGTGTACACTACACTATACACTACTACACTACAGTGTACACTACACTATACACTACTACACTATACACTACAGTGTACACTACACTATACACTACTACACTATACACTACAGTGTACACTACACTATACACTACTACACTCTCTCTCTCTCGAGGGGTGGGGTGGGGTGGTTACTTTCAGACCGGGTTGGCAAGTGCAGTGTACACTACACTATACACTACTACACTACAGTGTACACTACACTTTACACTACTACACAACAGTGTACAATACACTATACACTACTACACTACAGTGTACACTACACTTTACACTACTACACTACAGTGTACACTACACTATACACTACTACACGACAGTGTACACTACACTTTACACTACTACACTATACACTAGTACACTACAATTTACACTACTACACTACAGTGTACACTACACTTTACACTACTACACTATACACTACACACTGTAGTCTATAGTGTAGTGTACACTACACTATACACTACTACACTATACACTACTACACTATACACTACTACACTACAGTGTAGTAGTGTAGTAGTGTTCTCTACACTATACACTACTACACTATACATGACACACTGTAGTGTAGTAGTGTATAGTGTAGTAGTGTATAGTGTAGTGTACACTACACTATACACTACACACTGTAGTGTAGTAGTGTATAGTGTAGTAGTGTATAGTGTACACTACTACACTGTAGTACACTATACACTACACTATACACTGTAGTGTAGTAGTGTATAGTGTAGTAGTGTGTAGTGTACACTACTACACTGTAGTACACTATACACTACACTATACACTACTACACTTTAGTACACTACACACTACATACAGTGTGTAGTTTACTATAGTGTAGTGTACACTATAGTGTACACTACACTATACACTACTACGCTGTAGAACACTATACACTACAGTGTATAATGTAGTGTATAGAAGTGTATCGGTGTAGTGTATAGTGTAGTGTAGTGAATACTAGTGTATAGTGTAGTGTATAGTCATGTTGTGTATAGTGTAGTGTTTTGTGTAGTGTATAGTGTAGTGTAGTGAATAGTAGTGTATAGTAGTGTAGTGTATAGTGTAGGGTATAGTCGTGTATAGTGTAGTGTTTTGTGTAGTGTATAGTGTAGTGTAGTGTTTTGTGTAGTGTAGTGTATAGTCGTGTAGTGTATAGTGTAGTGTTTTGTATAGTGTAGTGTAGTGAATAGTAGTGTAGTGTATAGTGTAGTGTATATTCGTGTAGTGTATAGTGTAGTGTTTTGTGTAGTGTATAGTGTAGTGTAGTGAATAGTAGTGTATAGGAGTGTAGTGTATAGTGTAGTGTATAGTAGTGTAGTGTATAGTGTAGTGTATAATGTAGAATATTCTAATTCGTCACTAGTACAGCACACCGGCTGTGATTTGGAGAACCAAGCCACAAGTTTTAGAATCTGAGTACCCGGTACGATGTGCAGTAAACTTGGCACCACCACCACCAACACCACCATGCAACCACCACTCCCACCATCCACACCACCACCACTCCCACCATCCACACCACCACCCAAACCACAACCCCCTCCTTTGTTTACCATCACCACCACCACCCACCACGACCCACCACCATGCAACCACCACCCCCACCACCACCACCCCCTTTGCTTACCAACACCACCACCAACACCACCACCCACCACCCCCACCAACACCCCCTTTGCTTACCAACACCACTAACACCACCATCACCACCCCCCCTTTGCCCACCACCACCCCCACCACCACCACCACCCCCACCCACACCCCCACCAACACCCCCTTTGCTTACCAACACCACCACCAACACCACCACCCACCACGACCCACCACCACCCCCTTTGCTTACCAACACCACTAACACCACCAACACCACCCCCACCAACACCCCCTTTGCTTACCAACACCACTAACACCACCAACACCACCCCCACCAACACCCCCTTTGCTTACCAACACCACTAACACCACCAACACCACCACCCACTACGACCCACCACCACCCCCTTTGCTTACCAACACCACCACCAACACCACCACCACCACCCCCACCAACACCCCCTTTGCTTACCAACACCACCACCAACACCACCACCACCACCACCCCCACCCACACCCCCACCAACACCCCCTTTGCTTACCAACACCACCACCAACACCACCACCACCACCCCCACCAACACCCCCTTTGCTTACCAACACCACCACCAACACCACCACCACCACCACCCCCACCAACACCCCCTTTGCTTACCAACACCACCACCAACACCACCACCACCACCCCCACCAACACCCCCTTTGCTTACCAACACCACTAACACCACCAACATCACCACCACCACCACCACCACCCCCACCCCCCACCACCACCACCACCACCCCCCCACCACCACTCTCACCCCCCCACCCCCACCCCCCCCACCCCACCCCCAGGCTACCTGCACAGTGGCACGTTGCCAGCGAAGTTCCCGCTGGACGAGGTCGCCGTGGACGCGGCGACGTTCCGGGCCCTGGCCCGGACGTTCTCCGGGCGCCAGGCGGCCGCCTCGAGGAGCAGGGGGAGGGGCACCCCGCGGGGGGGGTGCCCCTCCCCCAACGGGACGCGGGGGGACAGCACGCGGGGTGAGGGGGGTGGCAGTGTACTGTATGTGTAGTGTAGTGTACTGTATGTAGTGTACTGTATGTACAGTGTGTAGTGTGTACTGTGTGTGTGTGTACTGTGTGTAGTGTACTGTGTGTGTACTGTGTGTGTGTACTGTATGGTGTGTACTGAGTGTGTACTGTGTGTGTACTGTGTGTGTACTGTGTGTAGTGTACTGTGTGTACTGTGTGTAGTGTACTGTGTAGTGTGTAGTGTACTGTGTGTACTGTGTGTACTGTATGTAGTGTGTACTGTGTACTGTGTGTACTGTGTAGTGTGTGTAGTGTACTGTGTGTGTACTGTGTGTAGTGTGTGTAGTGTACTGTGTGTAGTGTGTGTAGTGTACTGTGTGTGTACTGTGTGTAGTGTGTACTGTGTACTGTGTGTGTACTGTGTGTAGTGTGTACTGTGTGTGTAGTGTACTGTGTGTACTGTGTGTAGTGTACTGTGTGTGTACTGTGTACTGTGTGTGTACTGTGTGTAGTGTGTACTGTGTGTGTAGTGTACTGTGTGTAGTGTGTGTAGTGTACTGTGTGTGTACTGTGTACTGTGTGTGTACTGTGTGTGTAGTGTACTGTGTGTACTGTGTGTAGTGTGTGTAGTGTACTGTGTGTGTACTGTGTACTGTGTGTGTAGTGTGTACTGTGTGTGTAGTGTACTGTGTGTACTGTGTGTAGTGTGTGTAGTGTACTGTGTGTGTACTGTGTGTGTACTGTGTGTACTGTGTGTGTGTACTGTGTGTGTAGTGTACTGTGTACTGTGTGTGTACTGTGTGTAGTGTACTGTGTACTGTGTGTGTACTGTGTGTAGTGTACTGTGTGTACTGTGTGTGTACTGTGTGTGTGTACTGTGTGTACTGTGTGTACTGTGTGTGTGTACTGTGTGTGTGTACTGTGTGTGTACTGTGTGTGTGTACTGTGTGTGTGTACTGTGTGTACTGTGTGTGTACTGTGTGTACTGTGTGTGTGTACTCTGTGTGTGTGTACTGTGTGTACTGTGTGTGTACTGTGTGTACTGTGTGTGTACTGTGTGTACTGTGTGTGTACTGTGTGTGTACTGTGTGTACTGTGTGTACTGTGTGTGTACTCTGTGTGTACTGTGTGTACTGTGTGTGTACTCTGTGTGTGTACTGTGTGTACTGTGTGTGTGTACTGTGTGTACTGTGTGTGTACTCTGTGTGTGTGTACTGTGTGTACTGTGTGTGTACTCTGTGTGTGTGTACTGTGTGTACTCTGTACTGTGTGTACTGTGTGTACTGTGTGTGTGTGTACTGTGTGTGTGTGTACTGTGTGTGTGTGTGTGTACTGTGTGTGTGTACTGTGTGTGTGTACTGTGTGTGTGTACTGTGTGTACTGTGTGTGTGTACTGTGTGTACTGTGTGTGTGTACTGTGTGTACTGTGTGTGTACTGTGTGTGTACTGTGTGTGTGTGTACTGTGTGTGTACTGTGTGTGTGTACTGTGTGTGTACTGTGTGTGTGTACTGTGTGTGTACTGTGTGTACTGTGTGTGTACTGTGTGTGTACTGTGTGTGTGTACTGTGTACTGTGTGTGTGTACTGTGTGTGTACTGTGTGTGTGTACTGTGTGTACTGTGTGTGTACTGTGTGTGTGTACTGTGTGTACTGTGTGTGTGTACTGTGTGTGTACTGTGTGTACTGTGTGTGTGTACTGTGTGTGTACTGTGTGTGTGTACTGTGTGTGTGTGTACTGTGTGTGTACTGTGTGTGTACTGTGTGTGTGTACTGTGTGTGTGTACTGTGTGTGTGTACTCTGTGTGTGTACTGTGTGTGTGTACTGTGTGTGTACTGTGTGTGTACTGTGTGTAGTGTACTGTGTGTGTACTGTGTGTGTGTGTGTACTGTGTGTAGTGTACTCTGTGTGTACTGTGTGTGTGTACTGTGTGTGTACTGTGTGTGTGTACTGTGTGTGTGTGTGTACTGTGTGTGTACTGTGTGTGTGTACTGTGTGTGTGTACTGTGTGTGTGTACTGTGTGTGTGTACTCTGTGTGTGTACTGTGTGTGTACTGTGTGTGTGTACTGTGTGTGTGTACTGTGTGTGTACTGTGTGTGTACTCTGTGTGTGTACTGTGTGTAGTGTACTCTGTGTGTACTGTGTGTGTGTACTGTGTGTACTGTGTGTGTACTGTGTGTGTGTGTGTGTACTGTGTGTAGTGTACTCTGTGTGTACTGTGTGTGTGTACTGTGTGTACTGTGTGTGTGTACTGTGTGTAGTGTGTGTACTGTGTGTGTACTGTGTGTACTGTATGTAGTGTACTGTGTGTACAGTGTGTAGTGTGTACTGTGTGTGTGTGTGTACTGTGTGTGTGTACTGTGTGTGTGTACTGTGTGTGTGTGTACTGTGTGTACTGTGTGTGTACTGTGTGTACTGTGTGTGTACTGTGTGTGTGTACTGTGTGTGTGTGTACTGTGTGTACTGTGTGTGTACTGTGTGTACTGTGTGTGTGTGCTACAGGCGGCGTGTGGGGCAACAGCTCCGTGTGCGAGGGTTGTGGCTGCGTTGAGCTGAGCCTGCAGCTGTCCTGCTGCTGGTTCCCGCCGGCCTCGGCCCTGTACTGTGTACTGTACTGTGTGTGTGTGTACTGTGTGTGTACTGTGTACTGTGTGTGTACTGTGTGTGTGTGTACTGTGTGTGTGTACTGTGTGTGTACTGTGTGTGTGTGTGTGTACTCTGTGTGTGTACTGTGTGTGTGTGTACTGTGTGTGTACTGTGTGTACTGTGTGTGTACTGTGTGTACTGTGTGTGTGTACTGTGTGTGTACTGTGTGTGTGTGTACTGTGTGTGTACTGTGTGTACTGTGTGTACTCTGTGTGTACTGTGTGTGTGTACTGTGTGTGTGCTACAGGCGGCGTGTGGGGCAACAGCTCCTTGTGCGAGGGTTGTAGCTGCGTTGAGCTGAGCCTGCAGCTGTCCTGCTGCAGGTTCCCGCCGGCCTCGGCCCTGTACTGTGTGTACTGTGTGTGTACTGTGTGTAGTGTACTCTGTGTGTACTGTGTGTGTACTGTGTGTGTGTACTACAGGCGGCGTGCTGGGCGACAGCTCTGTGTGGGATGGGGGTAGCTGCGTTGAGCTGAGCCTGCAGCTGTCCTGCTGCAGGTTCCCGCCGGCCTCGGCCCTGTACTGTGTGTGTAGTGTGCTGTGTGTGTGTGTGTGTACTGTGTGTGTACTGTGTGTGTACTGTGTGTGTGTACTGTGTGTACTGTGTGTGTGTACTGTGTGTGTGTACTGTGTGTGTGTGTACTGTGTGTGTGTGTACTGTGTGTGTACTGTGTGTGTGTGCTACAGGCGGTGTGCTGGGCGACAGCTCCGTGTGGGATGGGGGTAGCTGCGTTGAGCTGAGCCTGCAGCTGTCCTGCTGCAGGTTCCCTCCGGCCTCGGCCCTGTACTGTGTACTGTGTGTGTACTGTGTGTGTACTGTGTACTGTGTGTGTACTGTGTGTGTACTGTGTGTGTGTACTGTGTGTGTGTACTGTGTGTACTGTGTGTGTACTGTGTGTGTGTACTGTGTGTGTGTACTGTGTGTGTACTGTGTGTGTGTGTGTACTGTGTGTACTGTGTGTGTGTACTGTGTACTGTGTGTGTGTACTGTGTGTGTACTGTGTGTGTGTACTGTGTGTGTACTGTGTGTGTGTACTGTGTGTGTGTACTGTGTGTGTGTGTGTACTGTGTGTACTGTGTGTGCTGTGTCTGTGTGCTACAGGCGGGGTGCTGGGCGACAGCTCTGTGTGGGATGGGGGTAGCTGCGTTGAGCTGAGCCTGCAGCTGTCCTGCTGCAGGTTCCCGCCGGCCTCGGCCCTGTACTGTGTACTGTACTGTGTGTGTGTGTGTGTACTGTGTGTGTACTCTGTGTGTGTACTGTGTGTGTACTGTGTGTACTGTGTGTGTGTGTACTGTGTGTGTACTGTGTGTGTGTGTACTGTGTGTGTACTGTGTGTGTGTACTGTGTGTGTGTACTGTGTGTGTACTGTGTGTGTACTGTGTGTACTGTGTGTGTGTGTACTGTGTGTGTACTGTGTGTGTGTACTGTGTGTGTACTGTGTGTGTACTGTGTGTACTGTGTGTGCTGTCTGTGTGCTACAGGCGGGGTGCTGGGCGACAGCTCCGTGTGGGATGGGGGTAGCTGCGTTGAGCTGAGCCTGCAGCTGTCCTGCTGCAGGTTCCCGCCGGCCTCGGCCCTGTACTGTGTACTGTACTGTGTGTGTGTGTACTGTGTACTGTGTGTGTACTGTGTGTGTGTGTACTGTGTGTACTGTGTGTGTGTACTGTGTGTGTGTACTGTGTGTGTGTGTACTGTGTGTGTGTGTACTGTGTGTGTGTACTGTGTGTGTACTGTGTGTGTGTACTGTGTGTACTGTGTGTGTGTACTGTGTGTACTGTGTGTGTGTACTGTGTGTGTGTGTGTACTGTGTGTGTGCTACAGGCGGGGTGCTGGGCGACAGCTCTGTGTGGGATGGGGGTAGCTGCGTTGAGCTGAGCCTGCAGCTGTCCTGCTGCAGGTTCCCTCAGGCCTCGGCCCTGTACTGTGTGTACTGTGTGTGTACTGTGTGTACTGTGTGTACTGTGTGTACTGTACTGTGTGTACTGTGTGTGTACTGTGTGTGTGTACTGTGTGTGCTGTGTGTGTACTACAGGCGGCGTGCTGGGCGACAGCTCTGTGTGGGATGGGGGTAGCTGCGTTGAGCTGAGCCTGCAGCTGTCCTGCTGCAGGTTCCCTCAGGCCTCGGCCCTGCGCGGCCTCTGGGACGTGAACAGGGAGCCGCTAATTGCGTTCCTCGAGCAGGTGAGGCAAAGCTCCCCCAGGTAGCCTCTAGCAGGGCTGTAGGGGCAAGTGCTGTCAGTTGCACCACCTATGATGCACACACACAGGCAAAGCTCCCCCAGGTAGCCTCTAGGAGGGCCGTAGGGGCAAGTGCTGCTAGTGGCGAGTAGCACCACCTATGATGCACGCACACAGGCAAAGCTCCCCCAGGTAGCCTCTAGCAGGGCCGTAGGGGCAAGTGCTGTCAGTAGCTAGTAGCACCACCTATGATGCACACACAGACAAAGCTCCCCCAGGTAGCCTCTAGCAGGCTGTAGGGGCAAGTGCTGCTAGTAGCGAGTAGCACCACCTATGATACACACACACAGACAAAGCTCCCCCAGGTAGCCTCTAGCAGGGCCGTAGGGGCAAGTGCTGTCAGTAGCACCACCTATGATGCACACACACAGACAAAGCTCCCCCAGGTAGCCTCTAGCAGGGCTGTAGAGGCAAGTGCTGCTAGTAGCGAGTAGCACCACCTATGATACACACACAGACAAAGCTCCTCCAGGTAGCCTCTAGCAGGGCTGTAGGGGCAAGTGCTGTCAGTAGCACCACCTATGATGCACACACAGACAAAGCTCCCCCAGGTAGCCTCTAGGAGGGCCGTAGGGGCAAGTGCTGTCAGTAGCACCACCTATGATGCACACACAGACAGAGCTCCCCCAGGTAGCCTCTAGCAGGGCTGTAGAGGCAAGTGCTGCTAGTAGCGAGTAGCACCACCTATGATGCACACACAGACAAAGCTGCCCCAGGTAGCCTCTAGCAGGGCCGTAGGGGCAAGTGCTGTCAGTAGCACCACCTATGATGCACACACACAGACAAAGCTCCCCCAGGTAGCCTCTAGCAGGGCCGTAGGGGCAAGTGCTGTAAAAAGCACCACCTATGATGCACACACACAGACAAATCTCCCCCAGGTAGCCTCTAGCAGGGCTGTAGGGGCAAGTGCTGTGAGTAGTGTAGTGTTTAGTGTAGTGTATAGTGTGTAGTGTAGTGTAAAGTTTTGTGTATAGTAGTGTATAGTGTAGTGTAGTGTATAGTGTAGTGTATAGTGTAGTGTATAGTGTAGTGTATAGTGTAGTGTGTAGTATAATGTGTAGTGTATAGTGTAGAGTGTAGTGTAGAGTGTATAGTGTAGTGTATAGTGTAGTGTGTAGTGTATAGTGTAGTGTATAGTGTAGCGTATAGCACCACCTATGATGCACACACACAGACAAAGCCCTCCCCCCCCACCCCACCCCCCACTACCCCCTCCCCCCACACCCCCCCTCCCCCCACTACCCCCTCCCCCCACACCCCCCCTCCCCCCCCACCACCCCCGTAGGCCCACATGGGTGTGAGGGGCTTCGTGAGGGGTGCCGGTGCCAAATCCTCGGCACTGCCGGGTGCCACCGTCGCCGTGTCTGGCGCCAGGCTGACGGTGAGAACCTGCCGCTACGGTGACTATCACCGCCTGCTGGTGCCCGGCACCTACAGCCTCACCGCTTCCTCGCCGGGGTGAGCGCTGGGATGTACACTGCACTACACTATACACTATACACTACTATACACTATACACTACAGTATACACTACACTATACACTACTATACACTATACACTACACTATACTATACACTATACACTGCACTATACACTACACTATACACTACACTATACTATACACTACACTATACACTACACTATACTATACACTACACTGCACTATACACTACACTATACTATACACTATACTATACACTACACTATACACTACACTATACACTACAGTATACACTACTATACACTACACTATACTATACACTACACTATACACTATACTATACACTACACTATACACTACACTATACACTACACTATACACTACTATACACTATACACTATACTATACACTATACACTACACTATACACTACACTATACACTACACTATACTATACACTATACACTACACTATACTATACACTATACACTACACTATAGACTACATTATACACTACACTATACTATACACTATACACTACACTATACACTACACTATACACTACACTATACTATACACTACACTATACTATACACTATACTACACACTATACTATACACTACACTATACACTACACTATACACTACACTATAGACTACATTATACACTACACTATACTATACACTACACTATACACTACACTATACACTATACACTACACTATACACTATGCACTACACTACACACTACACTACACACTACACTATACACTACACTATACACTATGCACTACACTACACACTACACTACACACTACACTATACACTACACTATACTATACACTACACTATACACTACACACTACACTATACACTACACTATACACTACACTATACACTACACTACACACTACACTACACTATACACTACACTACACACTACACTATACACTACACACTACACTATACACTACACTATTCATTACACTATACACTACACTACACTATGTACTACACTATGCACTACACTATACAGTACACTATACACTACTCTATACACTACACTATACACTATTCACTACACTATACATTACACTATACACTACACTATACACTACACTATACACTACACACTATGCACTACACTATACACTACACTATACACTACACTTCACTATGCACTACACTATGCACTACACTTACACTACACTATGCACTACACTATACACTACACTATACACTATGCACTAGACAATGCACTACACTATACACTACACTACTACACTATACACTACACTACATACTACACTATACACTGCACTACACTATACACTACACTAGACTATACTATGCACTACACTACTACACTCCTATACACTACACTATACACTACACTATACACTACACTATACACTACACTACACACTACACTACACACTATACGCTACACTATATGCTACACTACACTACACACTATACACTACACTATACACTACACTATACACTACACACTACACGACACACTACACTACACTATACACTACTATACACTACACTTTACACTACACTACACACTATACACTACACTATACACTGTACTACTAGCAGCACTTGCCCCTACAGCCCTGCTAGAGGCTACCTGGGGCAGCTTTGTCTGTGTGTGTATCATAGGTGGTGCTACTCGCCACTAGCAGCACTATACACTACACTATACACTACACTATACACTACACTATACACTACAGTATACACTATTCACTACACTATACACTACACTACTAGCAGCACTTGCCCCTACAGCCCTGCTAGAGGCTACCTGGGGAAGCTTTGTCTCTGTGTGTATCATAGGTGGTGCTACTCGCCACTAGCAGCACTATACACTACACTATACACTACACTATACACTACACTACTAGCAGCACTTGCCCCTACAGCCCTGCTAGAGGCTACCTGGGGGAGCTTTGTCTGTGTGTGTATCATAGGTGGTGCTACTCGCCACTAGCAGCACTATACACTACACTATACACTACACTATA